GCTTGCATATCTGATTTATTTCATGTAACATTATGGTCTTGAGGTGTATCCATTTTCCTACAAATGACTTGTTTATCATTTATTATGGTGGAGCACCTTTTTCTACCACCAGTGAGTTATGCTATTGATTCAACAATGTCTATATTACTAAAGTTGAGGGGGAGTGAGGGACACAATAACTCTACATGCAGGGTTCTATAAGACCAGATTCCTGGGCATATAATTTCACACCCTAGATTATGGGTAAAAGAGTAAAGAAGACCATGTTTTCTGCCAAGTAGAAAGGCAAATCCAAAGTCAGCAAGTAGAAAAGATGACAGAAACATACTAATTGTTATACAGAAATTGAATAAAAAAATCTGGATGAGGAAAACAAACATCACCAAGATTGTTCACCTCAGGGATTATTTGGTCATGCCTTATTGTGTATGTTGATGTTTTTATAGTTAATTTAGAGGAGGAAAGTCAGGCAAGTTTTAAGGTCTGGAATTTGCCACACATTTTGGAGCTAGAGAGACTGCTGCCTATGGGAAAAGCTCAAATCTAAGACCTAGATATTAATGCAGAAACAAACTGCTGAATGATTAAATAGATGAAACCCTGGAGGACACTGACACTGGAAGAACTTTCTGAGTAGAACCCCAATTGCACATCAAATATCAATAAATGAGATTATATCAAATTAAAAGCTTCTGCACAGTAAAAGAAACAATCAGCAGACTGAATACACAACTGAGGCAAAACATTTTCCAACATTTTCCATTATCCTTGGATAGTGGACTGATATATAGAATATATAAAAAATACAAAATATTCAGATCCCCAAATAAAATATCCAATCAGAAAATGGTCAACTTAAATAGACCCTTATCAGAAGAAGTATGAATGGCTAATAAATAGATGAAAAATGTTCAACATCTATGGCCATCAGAGGAATACAAATTAAAACCACAATGAAATTCCATCTTACTCCACAAAGAACTACTAAGTTCAAGAAATCAAACAGTAACAAATGCTGGTGAGGCTGTTGGGGGTGGGGTGGGGGAAGGAAACCATTCTACATTGTTAGTAGAAATATAATGCAACATAATCACTCTGGAAATCAGTATGGAGATTCCTCAAAATCTAAAACTTGAAATTTCATTCAACTCATGTTCCCACTTCTAGGTAGATTCTCGAAAGACTTAAAGACATCATACTACAGTGATACATAGGGCCGGGGATTTAGCTCAGTGGTTCTGCCACCTGCCTTGCAAGCACAAGGACCCGAGTTCAATCCCCAGTACCAAAAAAAAAAAAAACTGACTACAGTGATACTTGCATATCCATGCTTATAGCAGCAACAACTTACAATAGCTAAATCTTGGAAGCAATGTACAATGAATGGGTAAAGAAAATGGGTTGTTTATACACAATGGATTAAAGGCGGATAAATTTGTAGGAAAATAGATGTAACTTGAGGTCATAATGTTTAGGGAAATAAATCCAACTTAAATATCACATAACTTCTCTTATATGAGGTACCTAAAGCATAAAAAAATTAAAGAGCAAAAGAAAAGGTGCATAGTAGGAAAGAGGAAGAAAGATCTTTGGTAAGTAGGAAGATGATATTGAAAAGGAGGGAGAAGGGAGAAAAGGAAGAGAAAGAGAAATAAAAAGAATTGAAATACATTATGTACTACTTTCTACAATGAGTATAATCATTATGTTCTATAAACATGTTCTAATAAAGTTTTTAAAACTAAAAATAAATTAAAAATATAAAGATGGTAATAGAAAATGTCACTCCCCTCTTAATAATGTAACATGTTTCTGTTTTGAGATTTTTTTGTTTTGTTTCATTTTATACTTACCAGAAACAATACTTGTGGTAATTTTAATGACATAATTTAATCTTTTGTTAAAATGAACAAATATTTTGCTATTGCCTTTTTTAAATGGACATGTGAATTTACCCAAATGTCTTTGTTCTGTTTATTTATGATAATTTAGACCCTGCTTTTCTTAGACTTGGCTAAGAATATAGCACAAATACAAAGTCTGTTCAATCATTCAATGGGAAATGTTTGCTGATACTTTAATTCATTGTGTATAAAGAACACATATGCGCAAACCTAGTTTACAATTTTTCTGCCATTGATTGGTTTGAGAGTGTTTCTTCTCTCTATTTGATTTTTGTTTTTCTTTGTGTACAATGGAGGATTAAGTGAGTAAGATCAGAGGTCACCTATAAACTGAAAAAAGGCAACAGACTGTTAGGTTGGCTAAGGCAGTACATTTTTCTATTTTGTCTTGTCATGAGTTGTTACACCTTTTGGTAAGGCATGCATACTCATTTTGCTTGGTGATCCTCCATTGTGCTACAGGACTGAGCTACATCTGAACTTTATGATTTTATCTCTATATGGATTTTGTAAGCAGTTGAGTTTGGAGTTTGTTTAGAAATTTTATTTAATTTCTTGAAACTCCTAAGGCTTTAATTCTACAAATCCTCTGAAAGAATGAAGGTTCTCTCTTTTCCCCATTAGTTAGAGGAAGGATGAGATGACTAGAAATTTATATATGGTCACAACGTGCAGGTATAAGACCTTCTCTATTGACTGTCCCATTTACCACTCAAAACACTCCAGGGAGATAGGTATTATTGTCACATTTTCTAGGTAACAAAATAGGGTCATAGAAATTAACAACTTCTCCAGTATTAGAAGCTTATTGTGGAAATCAGGTTTAAACTCAGATATATTTGTCTCCAAAATGTTCCTGAGTCTTAGTTTCCAAGATTTTTAAAACATAAATTTAGATAAACAAAGGATATCTGATGTCAAAATATCTGAATCTATTTTCAAAATATTTTATTTCCATGGTGTTTTCTTCACAATCAGGGAATTATCTTTATACTGTGCTTAGGAAAATACATGACCACTTAAAGAGACACACAACATTTAGGAATAATTATTATTATTACAAGAAATTTGGCTTTAATTCTCATGTTGATGTGACTTTGGAAAATGTTACAAACCATTTAAATTTGAAAATATGATGACATTTTATCTCTGTTACAATTTTTCTTCTTTGTCACAGAACACTACAGTATCTTATAAATTCAACCTTGTTTGTACAACAAAACACATACTTTGAAATAGCACTTGATCACCTAGAAATTTAGTTGATATAGAACAGTTAGGGTAAAGAGAAGTTCAGATGTGTTTGGACACTGAATAATGGTAGTATAATCATTCATTGAATATAAAACTTTGACTAGAAAATTCATCTTTCAATTTCCATTTGATAATTTTGTAAAAATTAATTCAGCTAATTGAAACCTAAGCTTTATTTAGGGTGATTCCTATGTTATGTTAGGCACTTAATTGGCTTTCAGTAAACATAATGGGCAGCAAGTACCCAGAACAAGAATAATGTATTTAAAAGGGAGAAGGAAAAAGAAGATACATTGAAAACAAATTTGTCTATATGAACTCAGTTTTCTACATTTTTAAGGTTTGGACAATCAACATCATTCTAATTTGATGAAAGAATGGATATGGTGAGTTTTTAATGTGTTGTTGTTTTTTACTTTAAACAAACAGTGTTCAGATTTACAGGTGTTTTCTGCAAGAGTTGTGTAAATTAATTTAATAAGTATTAAATCAATGAGACTGTTAAGTTTTACTCTCAGTGAGGGATGTTAGGTAGAAGGCCACAGAAACTGTTGCCCTTTTCAAATAATTCACAAATGCACTAATTATGTGTCAGATATGAAAGTTGAGGTACTGTGACCTTCAAGCCAACAAAAGAGCTTTTCAAGTAAGCCATTTCCACGTACATTAATAACGTAACAATGCCCTTCCACAGTTAAATAATGTATGGCTGTTATTTTATTATATGTAAATGCAAGCCAAGAATTTGACTATTGACGTATTAAAAGTGATGCTATAAAAAGCAAAAAAAATGTAAATAATATTTGGTGGCATGCTTAAAATAGTAATCAAAGATATGCTTGTGATTTATCAGCAGCGTTGCAAACCAATGTGGAGTTTTTCTGCAACAATATATTTTGGGTCAGAATAGTGAAAATTACAATGTATTAACACATAATAACTTACTGAGACATTAGAGAAATTAGGAAAAGATGCTATAAAAACTACTTCTTGCAATGTTAAAGGCAATAATGGATTTTGTAGATCAGAGAAGAGATGTCTCTGTGCTAGCAAGAGAAATGTTGACTGAGTGTGGTTTAGAGAAAGTAATTCCACACCTTTTCCCATGGTTATGATATGAAGAAGCTATTTGTAAATACCATATATAGGTAATGGACATAATGGTAATTATTTAAAAGAACACCCATAAAAGAACACTTACTGCAAGAGAATGTAAGTTTCAAAAGCAATAATAAAAAATGAAATTTAAGTGTCACTAATGCTTGAATTATATTGACTGCTTGAATGTCAAACAGTGTCCATTAAGCTGTAATACAAAATCAAGAAGAGGAAAAAGTATTTAATTATCTTTTATTTGTCCAGCTTGAAGTATATTTGATATTGAATAAAACATGGATAAGATACATTCATGCTTAATGCAACTTAAGTATGCATAATAGACCTCTGGGAAATAATAAACCAATTACAAACTTAAAATAAACCACAATCATATGAGATTCCAAGAATTTATTAGTATGTAATCTGTAGATAAATTTTTTCCAGTCCCATAAGAGCTTCTTATTATGGGTTAGATGTTGATACCAAGAGAATATAGAAGGTTTAGTGATTTATTCATCAGCATTTTCCTTTTGTTTTTAACAGTTCTCTAGAGCCCGTGATTGTTGTTTTAAATGAGTCTCTGAATTTTTCATAAAATATACACCAGTGACATTTGTGAGAATTGTTACTGTAATTTCAGTGAATGTTTAAATGCTCTAACATATCCAGCATAACAAGTGCTTCAGAAATTCCTTGATGAACTAAAATATTTTCCACTAAAATTGTATTTAAATTGTATTTAAGGTGGCAAATCTTGCTTGCTCCATGTCTACAAATGAAGATGGAAGTAAAATTGTCAGAACTGCAGCCAATCACCTGGGAACACTGTGTCCACAGGTATGATGACTATGTTACTCTATTTTTTCATAAATGAATATATATATATATCCATTTTTTCATAATATAGAAAAATATATTCACTTTAAAGATGGATGACTGAATTTTTCAGCATCATGATTCATTCTCTATAAAGGAACTGGTTCTTGAAGCTCTTTTAGATAGTCCTGAGAGATTTTATGATAATGCTAAATATCTTCCAGAATTCTGAAAATTTGCAAGAACTGTTGTAAATGAATATGTTGAATCTTGAAAATTAGAGTTTTTTCTATTGATCTATCTTGCTAAATTCCTTTCATCTAATGAAGGCAAGGTGGCAGTCTTAATGGAAATCCTAGAATATTGTAACCTAAAACTATCTTATCTAGTAAAAGTCTCTTATTTTACAGATGAACAAACTGGGCACTAGAGGATGATTATTATTATATAAGTATTTATTATAAACCACTGGTTGTTTTAGAGGGCAAAACAGAATGCTGACAAATGCTTCAATAAAGTCATTGATGACCTCTGCCCAAATTTTTACTACATGAAATGGTACAATCTATTTTTTATGCTGTTATTTTTATGATAAAACACTTAATGGCATATTCTGATGAATCAGAAATATTTTCTTGTCAACAATTTAGGAGTTTGTTAAACTCTGAAGAGCAACACAGCTTTTGGGAATTATTTCTAGATGACTGGTAATCACAGAGCCATGAATCAGGATGCACTGTATAAGGCGATCCTTAATGTCCCTGTGTTAGAAGAGGGAAAGTATCATATGGATTCTTCCTAAAAAAAGACCACGTATGTTGTAAGGATGTGAAATATAATAATGATTAGGTACTGGATAGCCTCTGGATATCTGTTGAGGTTCTTACTCTATTAAAAGTAAAATATGTGTTAACTTCATGATTTGTGTTTCTGACAATTTCCTTTCTATAAATATTGAGGTAACAATGAGGGAAATTCCTTCTTTGGACCTTATATTGATTAAGAAGTAAAAACTGGTTAGAGGGTCTGCAACTGAGATCTCCCAACTGATGTTAGTTTTCTACGAGACCTCATAGGGAACAGAATACTGCAATGAGATCTCTGAAGTACTTCAGTCAATTATACTTCCACCAATAGTCTACGAGAGTTCTCATCTTTCCATATCATGCCTAACACTTGATGTCACTTTATAAAACATCTTTTAATCTGAGGAGTGTTAAGTATATCTTATTGGTTTTGCTTTGCAATTTTTAGATTATTTGATAGAATATTTTTTCAAATATTTATTAAGTATTTTTCTAAGTCTGTGGCTTGCCTATGCCCTTTGACAATTTTACCTGTGTTGTTCACATTTTTTTATCAATTCATTAGAATTTGTTAAAAAATCTGCCAAATGTGACTTTTCCTTTAACTTTCTAAATAATAGTTTAAACAGAATTGTAAGAACTTTACTCTAAATGTTATTCATCTTTTAATTCCCCTAATAAATATTTATTGAGCACTTCCTTGTGTTCTGGTTTGTGATTTTTGGCCTTCCTAAAAATTTCTACCAACAAAAATGTCATAGTTTTTTTTTCCACAAGATTGAAGTACTGTTATTCAAAAATTAGTTCTTTATTCTTTTTGAAATTTACTTTTGTATATAACACGACATGGGGTGTCTTAGTTACTCTTTCATTGCTGGGACAAAATACTGGATACTCACAAGTTAAAGAAGAAAAGGTTTATTTTAGCTCACAATTTGTAGAGGTTTCAATGCACGGTTGGCCAGCTCCAAGGCAGGGCAACATAGAAGAAGAGAAACAGTTCATGGCAGGGTAGGCAGAAAAGCAGCAGAAGCAAACCTCCTTTTCTCTTTATATTCCATGCAGCTACAAGGATTTTGGGAGGTGCCACCCACACCCAGGGAGTGGTTTCTGTTTTCAGTAAATCCATTCAGCCACACCCAGAAAAATGCTAAAGAATTGGTGGACCAATCCAGTACCACACACCCTTAATCCCAGTATCACATACCCATGATATAGCCACCTCCCAAAAGTCCCACCTATGAGTGCATGAAGCTTTGGGGAGACATCTAGATACAAGCCATAACATGGGGATCACTTTTTTTATAGTGCAAACAATTTGGTCATCATCATGTATTATTTTATCCTTTCTCAAGTTTTACACACACATACACACACACACACATATACACACACACATATACTCTGTCTCCATTTTTTTCCTATATTTATATAGATGTCCATATGTATGTATATAAAATATAATACATGAAAATTTGCAGTACATATATACTTATATAATATACATATATAAATATAATGCATGCATATGAAATACATATAATTTTTACTACTCCATCTGTAAACTGTATAGGTTGATAAATTGAAACATTTTATTTTATTATTTCATAGTATACAAGTTTTTGACTTTCCATTTTGTTTATTTGGTTCATAAACTATTTTGAAATAGTAGCATCATAATATATTAATTATGGTTTTATACTACATCTTGATCTCCTTTAGGGAAATTGGCTCACTTGCTTTTTTTGAAAATTTGAATTGCTATCCTTAAATGTCATTCTATAGTTTTGAACTAACTTTTGAATTCTAGATGAGTTAAGAATAACTAAGTATTGAGTATTTCTATCAAGAAACATGTTATATGTATCTTTTAATCGTGTTTTACCCTTTAGGGGTGCTTTAGTTTTTTAGTACTTATTTTAAAAATTCCATGGCTTAAAAACTTTTCTATATTCTGATAACTTCCCAAATTTTCTGTACAGATGAAGTATTTTCCAAAATAAATGACTCATATTTATTTTTCCTTTTGATTTCTCCATTTTCATATATAGAAGACATCAAAAATGTAAAATAGTAAAAATCTATTTTTTTCCATTTCCATATCGTTCTACTTCTCCTTCAGTTTTATCAGTTTTAGTTTAGAGGATAGCCATTTAAGTGATTGCTTAAGTGAAAAACCTGGAGTGTGGGATTCTTTATTCAATAAATATTTATTGACCATTTATTATGCAGTAGTTATAGCTTATGCATCTGGAGAGAAGATACTCATTACTTATACTTCATGTACTCAGTAGAAATATATTTGATGTTCAATAACTATTTCATATGTAAATAAATGATAGATATTATTCTATATTTGTAAAGGGAAAGAAAGCTTTTGGCAATTTTTATAATATTATTTTTAATGTTTCTTCTTGACAAATAATACAGTATTAGTTTGAGCTCTAACTGATGAAACCAAACCTTTAAAATGGCTTATTAGGTAAATGTGCTAACCAAGGATGATACCTTTCCTAGTAGGCTCCAGTAATCTGCTCTTTTCCTAGGCCATTTCAATATTTAATTATCTATTTGAATTATCAGTCATGATTTTTTTAAAGTAAAACAGTAAAGAAAACACTTTAACTAAAAAATCTATTCCCAAAGAGCCTAGGTGTTATTAATATGAATTAAAATGTATTATCCAAATGAAATATGATAGTTATAAATATTAACCTATTATATATTGAGGACTATAAAGCCAATTGCAAAGACAGGGAATTGGAGAATAGTGACTCAACAAAAATTTATTCTCCAAAAGATTAGAAGTGTTAGTTAATAATTATCTCAGTGTGAATCCACACCTTGTTATAGCTTTCAGAAAAGCTAGTATGATTTAACATATTTTGTCATAGAATAAGTTCTACAAATGATTCTCAACCTTCTCTGTACTTCAAATTCATTTTTCAAACTGTATGTTGTATGCTATGGTTAGTGTGATGCATTTTGAAATTTGGAATTGGTATGCCTGGAGTGTAGCCTAGAATCTGTGTGTGCATATGTGTGTATGAGTTCCACTTTGACATTATCTATTGAAGTAAACAACAACATACCTTCAGGTCAACTTCCAACAATTTATGGTACAGATATGTGTGCAGTTGCATCAGAGTCTATGAGTAAGATTTTCATGCAGTTGTTTGTAATGTTTTTTGTTTTTTGTTTTTTGGGGGGGTACCGGGGATTGAACTCAGGACCTTGTGCTTGCCCGGCAGGTGTCAGAACCACTGAGCTAAATCCCCGGTCCAATTGTTTGTAATGTTAAAAGCTAGAAACACAGAGAATGTTGTAAGCTGTTAAACTACTAATTCTACTTTATCCACAAGATAAGTGAAAAAAGAAAATTTCAGATGAGTATGTATATGATTCCATTTATGGCAAAATAGATAGATCAAGTTTATTTATTTATATATTCATAGAAAAAAATGTTTAAAAGTTCCTCCTGAGGTTTTTGTTTTCATTTTTGTTTTTCAGTAATGGGGATTGAATTAAGGGCCTTCATACCGACCTACACCTCCAGACATTTTTTTTTTTTTAATTTTAGGAGAGAATCTTACTAAATTGCCTAGACTGGGACTGAAATTGTGATCTTCTCATCGGATACTCAGAGCCAGGGTGCTGGGATTACAGGCATGAACCACCATACTCAGATTGTTGTGTTTATTAAGATAGGATATTGGTATGTAGCCCAGATTGGCCATAGACTGATGATCTCTTGCCTCTGACTCTTAGGGGCCAGGATTGCAGGTGTGCAATGTCATTAAAGTTTTACTAGCGGTAGCCTCGGGGACAAAGGCAAATGAGGGCTTTTACATTCCACATTATTTCTTTCTTGGACGTTTAATTTAACCAGACATTGGTATTTTATTAATTTCCAAACAAAACTCAACCTGTTGAACATTTCCTTGACTGTGTAAGTCAGGTAAACCCTGGGTGAGGAGGAGCTGACAGGTGGGCACTGAACTTTTATTTGTTATGTACAATTGAATTCACCCAGATGTCAGTGAATTGAATTGTCCTAGTTCTTTTATTGTACAAAAAGGACAACATTGGGGTATAGCTCAGTGGTAGAGCATTTGACGGCAAAAAGGACAACATCTACAGTGGTTTTTTCCAGTTAAAGGTAGTTTACTGTAAAAAAAAGAATTATCACTTGGAACATATTTAGCAGAGGATGTC